ATGGTTCACATTTACAATCATCATACATCACATACGAGCAATATGCACTTGCAAATATCGTGCCAAACGGCAATAAACTCAATCACATCCATCATGCATTTTCAATCAATTTAAACAATGTGTCACATATGCCAAAAGGCCACATATTCACAGTCAATTCATAATCTAGGATTCACGCCATACGACTACCCACAACACATATAACAACATATAATTAGTCATCTCAGACAAGGAATGATCGCAACCAAACCACACAATCAATCCACGAATGGAAAGCACAAGAAAAGAAAACATGCTGCTGTGTTCGCTAACCTTCGCCTGGCGAATCCCCTGGCGAACCTTCGCTACCCGTTCGCCTGGCGAACTTGCCAGCGAAGACCACTGGGATTTATTCTGGAATTACTCGCTAGCACACTAGCCTGGCGAACCTTCGCCACACTCATTCGCCTGGAGAACTTGCCAACTAAGACATGGTGTTTGGTTCTGACTTGATTCGCTACCGTTCGCTGGGCTTCGCCTGGCGAACCTGCGAGATTAGAACTTCCATGGCTGTTTAAAAGCCCAAACCCCACAAAACCAACCGATTTAATCCAAATCAGTTCCAGTAGCGCAGCCCACTCATCACCCGACTATACTACACCGCCTATTCCAAATTCTAACCGATAAAACTCAGTTTCTACCGATTAAATCCACTTCCGACCTAAAATGGAAAAATGTAGGAAACCCCTAACAAATCCAAACACACACATACATAATCATACATATTGATTAAGATAGTAAGATTTGACACCCTTACCTCGATTAATCGGAAGCTAGAAGTCGTTCTTGAGCTTTTTCAAGCTTTTCCTTCTTTTTCCTTCTACTTTCTCTTCTTCATCCACTTTCCTTTCATGTTTTCTATCTTTCATTGCCGTTCCTCTTCCCCTATATATATATGTCCTGCCCTCCTATTTCTCTCCAATATATTTCTTCTCTTAAAATATTTGTCAATTCATTTTCTCATAAAATATCTCATCTTGACATTAGTTAGAAAACATCTGATAAACCCTCATGATTCTACCAAATAGAATAAATTAGTTAAATCCAATAATTCACTTAAACCTTACAAACCAACTAACTAGTACAATTAATCAGTTATTAAAACTTGGGTTGTTACAGACACCTCCCCGGACAAACTCCGAGTTGGCGCATTCAGCCAGTATACGCTTACGGGAAGCGACTAGAGCTGTGTATTCGGTGAAGTGGCCCGCAAGGCCTCTCTACTCTCTGGGCTTTCGGGGACGATCGTCCCGTCGTCGGTATCCCCCATGCCGGGGGGCTGATGTTTCTTCCTCTCGGGACCCGCGGGGGGTTTCGTGGTTACGGGATTCCTTGGCAGAATTAGCAGCCTCAGTTTCCTCGTACCGGATATAGTGGTGGGCTTTCTCGAGGAAGTCTTACAGGGTGGTTGGTCGATGGATCGCCATGGCCTCGTAGAATTTGGAGCCGCGACGTAGACCTTGTTCCATGAGGTAACACTTTATGTCGTCTAAAGTCGTCACCTGAACTGCCTCCCTCGTGAACCTCTCAATTTAGTTTCTGGGAGGCTCGTCTGGGGCCTGGATGATCGTGCCTAGGTCGGCCTCCGTCTTCAGATGTCGTCGGGGCACCGTGAAATATTGCGAGAAGAAATCCTTTAGGATCCTCCACGACGTGACGAATTCAGGCTCCAGGATTTTGTCTCACGCCATGGCTCCCTTCCTTACCATCGTCGGGAAGAGTCTGCACTTGATGGCTCCTCGGACGTTCCTATAGTCGAGCATGGCCTCGATGTCTTCCAGGTGGTCGCCTGGGTCCGAGGTACCGTCGTATATGGAGAGTACGAGTGACTTCTCCATCCCATGGGGAATGGGGGTCGCCATGATTTCCCGCGTCAGAGGGGTCCTGTAGTCGTCCCCATCACTGCGGACGGGGGAGTGCGATGGCGAAGGATCGTGCCAAGGGGGTTGATTACGTCCCCTCGACCTTTTGCCCAGGCTTCCGGCCTGTTCACTATTGGGACCGGGGAACGCCTCTCTTTTCGGAGAGGTGAACATACACGTTTCTTGGAGGCCGCAGGTTTGGGCCTCTCCAGTTGTGGTCGGCGCCCTCGTGGATGAGGGGAGGGGCTTCGGGAGTCTTCGCGTTGATTCCTTTGCGGGGGAGAGCAAGACGAGGTATCTTGCTCCAACAGGCCAATGCGTTCATTCTCCTGGAATAACATCATATTGGTTTGGTTGATGGCTGCGAAGAGAGCAGTCATCGTTGGGCCTGCTCCAGCTGGCGTAGGAATAGGCTGGAAAACAGTTGGGCTCCTTGCTCGAGGTTCGACGCAATGTGCCGCTTCCTCGGATGAAGGAGAGGAATTCTAGCCATCTTTGGCGTCGCCCTCTCGGGCGCGGGATGGCCCCGCCTGGTCGTCGCCGTTGTTGATTTGAGCGAAGGCGGAATTGTGGACAACATCATCGTGACGTGGGCTAGTCATGATCTCAAAAGTTGAAGTCAGAAGCTTTCGTTCTTCTGCTCGGAGGAACGGGGAAGCTTATGATTCCACAAACGGTGCCACTGATCTTACTTGATTAGAAGAGATTGCTGACCGCCACGTGTCACTAGTCTGAGAGCTGCTCAATGGAGTAGGGAAGAGGAGAGGGGTGTACCTACAAGACACTCCGATATCAAAGTAAGTAGGGGACGAGAGTGGGAGAAAATACATAAGTGAGGTGTAGAGAGTTGAATACCTGACCCTTTAGTGAAAGAAGGTATTTATAAAGAAACCCTAGCGCAGGGCCAACAGTCACTTGCGTTGGACTGGATTTCCAGGCCCATCCTAGGTGACTACTAGGGCTTACATGGCGCAGTGAAGACCAGTACGTGGTCTTCGTCCTAGTTCAACCGTCCCGTGATCTCTGGAAGGTGGGCTGACCAGCTCTTTCGGAGGTGGGTAGATGGATGATGACGTCTTCTCGCGGAGGGAGCACGTGGAGAACGTGTGGAAGGCGTTTTGTTCTGCCTGACAGGAGGAAATGTCTGCCCAGCCTGTCAAAACTGTGCCCGACACTGGGTGATTTGGGACTTGTTGGGCCTTTACCAAATAGCGTTGGGCTAGGCCTGCCCGACGGATAGGCAGGTCTGGCCCAGTCCAGAACACATGGGGAGATTTAAGATTAATTTAAAACCCATATGTTGGCAAAATTGACTTTAGTTGGATTTTTTTCTTGCCACATTCTCCATACTAATGTAGATACTTTATGCTAATCAATTTTCTCAATGCAGCTGCATACTTCTTCATCCCTTATCTAACACTGTCCTTTAAAATTAAATTATAAGCTTTCTTTACTGAATATGTTTTTTACACCAAATCTACATGTCTTCCGATTCTTCACTCAATATTATTGGTTGTGTTTTTTCTTTAATTTCATCCTCCATTTTTCTTTCTTCCTCGTTAAGACTTCTTTTCCACATGACGTTACAACTCTCCCCCTCTATATTTCTCCACACCACTTCACTGAATAAAGCCTCTTTATTCACTAATAAATCAAACAAATCAATGTAATTATTCTTCAAATTTTGACCCCTCTGTCTAAAGGTCTTTCTAGAATTGTGTTCTGACTCTGTTTCCTATTTTCCTGCATAAATTTTCAAAAAACCAGTACAATTTTAAGTCCCAAACCCCATTATCTATATTTTTTTTATCCCGCCACCATTTCGATCCCTGTCTGTCATCTCTATTCACTCTACCATTTATTTCATAATATTTACTTAGTAAGACCTTAACCCATAAACTTTGATTCTCGGTACGTATTTACCAAACCCATTTTTCTAATAATGCAATGTTGAACGCCTTTAAATTTTTTATGGCTAGACCACCCCCGTCTTTCTCATTGCACACCTTGTTCTAATGAACCCAATATATTTTCTTATTCTCCACTTCCCCACCCCACAATTTTTGTAAGAGGAATTCAAGATTAAAGATTACATGTTCGTTGCTTTGAAGAAAGAAGAAAAATAGACAGGTAAAACATAAATAACAAACTTTATAAGTACGATTTGTCCACCAATTGACATGTGTATATTATTCCATTTAGACAATCTACTCGCCACTGCTTCAATCACATATTTTCAAAATTCATTTCTTATATGATTATCTCCGATAATAATACCTAGGTATTTAAAAGGTAAAACTCCAATTTTCCAGTTTAACACTTGCAATGCTTTTTCCAACCAATGTTGCAAAATATTGATCCCCGCTAAGAGGCTTTTTTGAAAGTTTACCTTCATATTCAATATCACTTCAAATAAATGCACAGTCGCTTTGATGTTTCTCACATTTTTCAACACTTCTTTTCCACAATTAGAGACGAGAAACACTCACACCTCCTCTCTAGAATTCATATCCCTAAAATATATTCAATTGAACATCTCTTGACATCATTAAATTAAATCCTTCTGCTATCAAAAAAGAAAAGACAATAACGGATCTTTTTGCCTCAAACCTCTTTCTACTCTAAATTCTTTAATCGAATTTTCATTAACTAATATTAATATACTGGTAGTATGGATGCATTATAAAATCCATCCTTCCATTTATCGGTGAATCCCATTTTCTCCATCACAAAATTCAAATATTTTCATTCCACTTAATCATTTGCCTTCTCTTTAAATAACAACACTCTCATTTTTTTTTTTACATTACATTGTCCACCATTTGCTTCAATTTATTTGTCAATAATTTTGATAATATTTTATATATTAAGGAGATTGACCTAAAATACTTTTTAGGTCTTTATGTGATTTGTGTCAATATTTTTTATAATACTTTATACGTGCTTCTCAAGAGGATTGACCTAAAATACTTCATAGGTCTGAATGTGATTTGTAAAGTTGTTAAACATATCTGTATAAAAATTAACCTTGCGCTCGAAATGATCAAAGCTATCCCTAATTAACGCTGGAGTGGTTTCATTTAATTTATTGCTTCAACAATGCTCAGAACCAACAACAATAACAAGCGCGGAGTGCTTAATCGTTTGAAAACCCTCATCAATAACTCACGTGTACACTAACACTACTTTATTATCTTCTTATTTTGGGTCACGCAATTTATCGAACACCTTGTGGATATCTATATCTCTTTCTAAACTCATATTTCAACCGCCCTTGAATTATTCTTTACAGCTTTTCTGCTCCTCTTCACCTAAAGGACCAATGCAAGATCATTCTTCTTCAGAAACAGAATCCGGTTACTCCATTGGTCGAGGTACATTTGCTTCTGCATTTTATGCTTTGTTACAGTTGCGTTTAATTTATATCTCACAATTCTTATTGAGTTAATTTGACTGTTATCAAGCATAATGTACATAAGCACATGTGTAATGTAACCTTTATCTCTGAAGTGGCTATGAAATTTGATTGAACTTTTGGGTTGTTTGACAGGCCGCATTGACATTTCAAAAGGGAAGACTTTCGATGCAAGGGAGCTTGGTATTACCAGTTCTATGATTTCACGGCCTACTCAGTATGTTCTGAAACTTCTTCAGGACAAAGGTAAAACTCTTCTTATTCCCCACATTCTCAGTCAAGGGAATTCATGTGCAGGCTTGTATGATATCACCGTTCTCCTCCTCCTCCTTCTGTTTCCAGTTCATGATAAAGACGGGCATTGGTTTCCTTGCAAGTTTATTTCTTTGTACCCTGATTCTGTAATAAATAGATATAGTTTTAGCCTCTGTAACCAGTTTATTATCCTTGGTTGATCTTAGTTGATCCAGGGAAATAAAATAGCACTTTCAGCTGCTCTTGGAATTATTTTATGTTTATATTTTGAATGTTTATTTTTAAATTTTTTTAAAATTATGGTATAAAATATCATTCCATTTCTCTGTTTGTTAATACTCCAATTTTCTTTTTGGATAACATGATTCTTTTACCTTTTGTGAGTTGCAGGGTATAAGTCCTACTTAGTAGGAGGGTGTGTGAGAGATCTATTACTGAATAGAACTCCAAAAGATTTTGACGTGGTCACCACAGCACAGCTTATGGAGGTTTTTTTTTGACAACCATTCGACTTATCAAATATATTAGATGCACATTATTCATTTTTAGTGAGTTTTAAAGCACCTTTTTTCTTCTATAATATATCTGACAGGCAAGGAGGCAATTTCGTCGTTCAGCTCGTCGTGCTGATGTTGTTGGACGGCGTTTTCCAGTATGCCTGGTTCATATAAAAGGTTCGATAATAGAGGTTTGTTCATGAGAAGTTATACAAGATTATCTCTATCCTTTTAAACTACAAATTATATGTGTGATATGTGCTTTTCTTTGGTTAAATTTAATTTCAATAACTAAATAAGTTTATATTGGATCAGGTAACAAGTTTTGAGACAGAATCAAAAACTTCCAAAGGGATGGAAAAAGTCTTACACTCTATGCTGCCCAAATGCAGTAATAAAGAAGACCGATATTTCTGCAAAAGTACCTTGCGAAGGGACTTCACAATTAATAGGTATTAAGCTTTTGTCTCCCCCACATCTAAAGTATCAGTTTTTATCTTTGAGGTTTACTTTATCCCTGTCTGTCATGTTAATCCATTTCTGATTCCGAAAGCAGTTTATTTTATGATCCCTTTGCAAATAAAATTTATGATTATGCCAATGGAATTGCTGATTTGAGGTCCTTAAAGGTAATTCTTTTTTTGATTTGTCAAAGAATTTTTTGCCTTCAAGATTGAAAGTATGCTGATATATGTTATGCTTTGTCATATGGATGCAGCTTGAAACCGTGATCCCTGCTCAGGTGTCCTTTAAAGATGACCCTGGTAGGTAGTATCATACTCTAATCAGCATTTTGAATTAGGAGCTTTGACCATATTGATAAGCATGCACAATGAAAACGAAGTTGCTTTTGAAATCTCTCTACAGGGAGAATTTTGCGTGGATTTAGAATTGCAGCTCGCCTAGGTTTATCATTATCCAGGGAGACTGAGGCTGCAATCTGGACATGTTCTTCCCTAGTTAAGGATCTGAACAAGGTACATCATTTGGAATTTATGATGATATGCTGCCTGAATTGGCACAAGAAAATTTCTATTATCTTTAAATTTTACTGGTATTGATTCTCCTTGTATTTGTTGTCCAAGTGCTGTGTAGAAATGCTTTTTTATTTTTTATTTTATATATATATATATATATATATATATATATATATATATATATATATATATATATATATATATATATATATATATATATATATATATATATATATATATATATATATATATATATATATTTATTTATTTATTTATTTATTTATTTATTTATTTTTAATTTGCACTTCAGTATACTATACTTGCCATTGACAATCAGAAAGGGTAAAGCTGTTTATTTACAACATGCCCATGCCATTTTCTTTTTGAATGTCAAATTGGTTACTCATCTCGTCTGTTCTTTATATATTTTAGGATAGAATGATGATTGAGTTAAACTATATGTTGTCTTATGGAGCTTCCGAGTCATCTCTTTGCCTACTCTGGAAATTCAAATTGCTACAATTTTGGCTTCCGGTGCATGTAAGTGGATTTGATTGCTGAAATTTCAGTCTTCTTATTTAAAATAATATGCTTCTTTTCTCATCCACATTCAAAATTTACTCATTAGTTTATTATAGGCAGCATATCTCGATGAACAGGCTACTAAAGAAGATGGTCAGGCTTCCAATATGTTGATGGTGAGTTAGATTGGCAAAATAATTGTACAATGAACTTTATATGATGTTATTTGATTCAATGAATGCAATTATGCAAATGCTAAAGTCATCAGAAGCTAGAGGAATGTGCTACTAAAAGTTTTTTACTTTTTGAATGACGATGTGCTACTAAAAGTTGATAGTTCACTGTTAACTAGATCACTATTTGAATGCTTAGCAGTGTTTAGCAAAACAGGATAATCACTATAACTTTTTGTTATGCATACTAAAATAATAACTATAAAAATTAAAATGATACTCAAAATTCATGAAATGTTTGTAAATAACTATAAAAAGTCATAGTCTTAAGCAAAATATTGCAGGAAATACCAAAAAAGTAAAAAAAAATCAGGTAAGTTAAGGCTGAAAGTAACAAAGCATTGAAGGTCAATGTTTAATCTTTATATCAAAAAAAGGGAATATGTAAAATAACCCTTATATAACTTTTTTCCGAAGAATTTAGCGGTCATTAAAGTGACACGACTACAACTACATTAAACCACTGCATTATATAGCAAACTGTTGACTGTCTTAAGAAAATATTGCAAAAAATAATGAATTGGCTGTTGACTGTTACTCAAAATATAATTATTTGATCAGTGAACTTCATTCAGCAATCCTATTTTCTTTCTTTTTTTGACCAAAAGTAATTCTATTTTTTCCCACATATGTAACTGAAATTCCACTTATAAACTCCAAACTACAAGGAGATGGTAAAAGATTGTTAGTTTGTTACTACTTTTCTGATAAAGCTAAAGATAAATTGGACAGTAGGTTAAATGATGTTATATTGCATTGATCTAACATTAAGAAATGTATACGACGAGTTTCTTGCATACTTTTAGGCTATGCTTGTATGAATTGGAGGAAGGTTGGCATGTTGTTGGACATAAAAAGTTTAAACGAAAATATAAAAATGACAATGTATGAGGACTTCAATGTGTCAAAATATCTTTTTTCTGACTTTTCATTTCTATTTTCCACCAACTCAAACATGGATTGCTTTAGTCACAACTATAACAATTAATAAGTAAACTAATCAAACTTTTCTGGTTTCTTCTTATGGTTGTCTTTTGTGCAGAAATTATTTTTCCATCTGGATAATTTGGTTGGATGTGACCGACCTTCTGATTGTATCCTATGGTGAGTGATTTTTATTTTTATAATTATAAAAGTTCAGATGAATTGGGTTCAAGAGGCTCATTACTATTAGGGCCTCAAAGCTCAAAGTGTGTCTACAAAAATACTTACGCATTACCCACCAACGAGATCCTAACATCGACAGCCCACCAATGAGATCCTAATGTCGATGGTAGGATTTGAACTCATGTCCAACACGATGGTGGCGTTGGATGCTGAATGAAGGAAGCTCAAGTTGTTTACAATAAAGGTGGCTAGAGTTTCCAACAAGGATTACCAAAACAGATACTCATTGATAGCATATTTTTAGTCAGAAGTTTATATTCTCATTCATTTGGAAATGAGCGGACAACTACTCTAAACTGTCTGTTGCATATAAACACCTTAACATTCACTTTGTCCCAATTAATTCGTATACCCTTATTAATGTGATTGTTAAGAAATATGGTTGGGCCTAACTCAACCCTACAAAACCGGTTGGTAGAGTGAGAATTACCCCCGCTTATAAACACATGTTCATGCCATATATTGTCCGATGTGAGACTCTTAACACACCCCCTCACGCTCAGGACTAGACAACTGAAGCGTGGAAATAAATGGTGGGCGGCCCGATAGCGGAAACCATAGAAGGTGGGTCACCGGATCTTAAACGAGGCCCTTGATACCATGTTAAGAAATGTGGTTGGGCCTAACTCAACCCTACAAAACCGGTTGGTAGAGTGAGGATTACCCTCACTTATAAACACATGTTCATGCCATATATTTCCAATCTGGGACTCTTAACAGTGATAATAGACCATTTCTTTAACTTGGAGTCAAATTACTAACAATGAACAAAAGGGTCTAGTGTAACAATTGTTGAACTTTAAGGGTTAATTGGAACAAAGTGAAAGTTCAAGAGTTTTGGTGTTTCATGGTTGTATTGTATTGTATGCTCTTTTCCCTGGTCAAATAAAAGGCCCAGATTCGTTGTTTTTGAATTTGTACTCCCTCAGTGTTTGAAACATCATTCTATGATTTTATGTGATGCAGGATTGGATTGCTAGCATTTCACCTGGCATTAGTAAATAACCCTCAAGATGCTCTTGTGGTCTGGGCACTCGCATCTGTTCTATATCATGGAGAGTGGCAAGAAGGCATTAAGTTTGCTAAAGAACATGCAAAAATGTATGTTAATTTTGCACCGGAAATAAAGAGGTCCAGTGCAGACAAATCAGATGAAGAAATTGCAGAAACAGTCACTAAATTGGCATCTTTGGTGATTGACTCCATTCATGCGCTGGTTAATATTAACAGATTTTCTCAATCTCTGTCTAGATATCCATCTGTCCCACGCCCTCATGTGGTAAGTAAATCTGTTTTGGTATATATTTATTTAGCTAAGATTTGAATAGTATGGCTGATTGACTGCACAACAGTTGCAACATGATTAAGTTGTGTCCTAATTGATAGGGTTATTCTTCAAACATGCCACAGTTAGGGTTGTGTGATACTTGTTTCTGGTTAGATGTTGGTAACTATCAAGAGTTTGAGCTTTGAAAATAATGTAACTCTACTGTCATGTATAAAGATAACAAAGAAAATTATACTCCAATGAATATTGAATACTAAATAGAGAGGTTTAATTTACTGAAGACAATTCATTAATATTCCAGCTTATGTGCCCCATAGCACGCTATTTCTACAGTAAGTTTTTTGTTTTTTTTGAAAAAGTTTACAGTCAGTTATAATTGTAGTTGTCAGATAGCTGCCTTGCTCTCAATCATATATAACCTGGTAAAAATGCACTGTAGTAATATACAAATTATGATTCTATCATAAATCAGAGCTTGAGACATGTCAACTCATTTCAGATCAATCTTTATTTGTCAACTTGTGAATCAATTTCATGTGTTCTTGTCACTTGTGATTCAGTTTTGATTCTGGCATAAAATGATCAGTTGGTTTATATTCAGTCTGAACTGAAGCAACCAATATTTTATACAGAACTCTATATGACAAGGCATGGCGATGAGCAAACAGCAATTGCTAATATCAATGGCCAAAAATGAAAACTTTGGAATCAAGTTGGTTTCATATAACCCTAGTTGTCAAACTCGCAAATTGTGTGAGTTTACAACTAGGTATCAAAATCAAGTTAACTCATTTACATAATCATTTCTATGTGAACTAACGTAGACTCATATAGACTCGCATAGAATCGTGACTTCAAGGGAAATAGCTGAATAATAAGGCCTTGTAGCACACAACATTCATCTCAAAATTATAACAATTGCCTCCACAGACACGTGTAACATCCCAACACGAGACCGAATGCAAAAGAAGTGAATGAATTTGAGTTTTAACTAACTTGGCTCAACATAAACAAAACTTAAAAATTCCATTGTTGCAAGTATGCAATTAACTCACTAGGTTAACAGCTATCGAGAGTCAGTAGGACTACCAGGTGGCTGATTGGAAATTGGAATGAGCGAGTAGATAATTTTTCCTATTTATGCTTGGATATTGCCCTTTCCTCCCCATAATCAAATACTACCTGATTATAAACTTTTTCCTTTATGTTCAGTTAATTAATCTTTTACCCATCTCTAAATCATTTACTGTGTTACTTTGTGGTTATTCATAAGGTTCCAATTCAACTGAAAACCTGGTGGCTTTCAGGTAATTGTATCAAGAAAAACAGGGAAAGCCGTCTCTAAAATTTTCGATGTCCTGATTGATGATATTAAATTTTACAAGAGTGAAAGAAAAAGTGCAAAGATAAATTATGACATGCTTGGGAGCGGTCATATTTCAGAGACTAGATTTGTTTTGGGCAAAATTGTTCTTGAAACTATGCGGAGTGGAATCGTTGGAGAAGGGGATGGGTCTGAGGTGGAAAAATGTCACCTTAAGACTGAGGGCACCAAGGGCTTTGGGCAAATGGTGGCAAAGAAAGAAAAGAGAAAGGTTTTATCAACACCGAATTTAGAGCATAGGCCAGAAAAACTCAAAAAAAAGAAATTGGCTGAGAATACACGCATTGCAGAGCAGAAAAAAGGATTGTCTAAGTACAAGGAAACTGATGAAGAGCACCAAAAGCCAGTTAAGTTGGGCCAACAGGTTGATCTATCTAAAAAGAACTCTATGCCAACAAATAAATGCAGTAATAGAGAACAGTTGATAAATGATATTGATAGGAAGCAAATTGTCAGTGCCAGGAAAAGTTCTAAAGACCATGCTAGGCATCTGAAGATGAATGAGCACCGTACGCCATCTCAATCTACAGTCTCTAAGAATAATAAGGTAATAGCCAATAACCACAACATAAACAAGGGTGTAACAACAGATGAGTCAGTTGACAAAGTTGTCAACGAGAAAGGAAGACAGCAGCCACAAAAAAGTAAAAAAAGTCTGTCTCCACTCTTTTGTCAAGGCAGACACTCCTGAGGAATTTTTGGCATCATTGGGAGAAAGAAACAACCTAAGTGTTTATTGTATAAATGGTGCATTTGGATAAATTACTTAAGTGTGTATGTTATATAAACTATTTTTATAATCAAAATGAGAATTTAGCTAAATCATTTTTATATAAGTAATAAGATATTTTCATAAACTATTTTAGATATGCTATAGAATAAGCTAAAGATAATTTATGGACATGTCATGCACTATTTCATAAACTTGCCCCAAATAATTTGAAAAGCGTGTATGCCAGGAGACAGATATACTAAAATAAACTGTTTCAAATTCAAATCCAAACTCTTCTTGATTATGTATATCAATTAGAACGCATATAATTTCATAGGGAAGTGAGGTAATAACCTATCTTGATGAGTTAGAATTTGAAATTTGATGTTATCTCAAAAGCTAGTATTTGACTATGTCGAAGTAATTAGTCGAGGTGTAGGAGTCAGCTGTATTTGACAAAGTCGAACACAACATATAGTTGTTATATTGAAATGTAACTTGTAAGCTTTATATGTTGTATTTTGTATGTTTTTGGCATGAGTTTTAGTTGCATATATAATGATGAATGATGAAAATCACAACAACTCACTAAATAATATTTCTCTTATACAATTCAATTTTCTCTCTTTTCTCTCTTCTTCTTCTCCCATCTCTCTTGAAAACCTTTTTGTTCCAACAAATTGGTATCAAGGAGCCCGATGTCGGATTCAGAGAGAATCTGTAATGGTAAATGGAAACATAACATCAACACAATTTTAAGCAAATCTGCCGGTTTTTAAAGGGGAGAACTACGAACTGTGAGTTGTGCAGACGAATGTCATCTTCAGATTTTAAGATGTGGCTGAAATCGTGAACGATGGAGTACCGACATTAGAAGTGAATACATATGATGTTCAACAAGCTGCGTCAAAGAACGAAGAAAGAAAGATGGAAAAATCTATTTTTGATTCTCCAATGTGTGGACCCTAACATGTTTGAGAAGATTATTTAAGAAGAAATGACAAAAGGAGCCTGAGACAAGCTAAAGAACTTTTACAACGGAGATGAAAAACTAAAAAGAGTGAAGTTGTAGACGTTGAAAAAACAATTCGAGATGTCAGATGAAAGAAGATGAATCAGTCTTAGAATACCTTTCACATGTGGTGTTGTTAACGAACCAAATGAAGTCATGTGGTGAATCAATCAACGATTTGCAGAAGATTGAGAAACTGTTGAGATCTCTGACTGTGAAGTTTGATTATATTATAGTGTCAATTGAAGAGTCCAAGAACCTAGTTGAGATGAAGTTAGAAGAACTTCAAGCTTCATTAGAGGCTGAAGCAGAGGAACTTAGAAAGGGAGAATGTGGCTGAACAGACACTACAAGCAAGATTCATCAAGAAATATGAGAAAGAGAAGAGAAAAAATCTTGCTAATGATGAGAAGTAAAGCAAGAAATCAAAGAATCACTCTCATTCGATCAAGAAAGGCATGATCAACAAGTATTCTAGGAAGAAAATTGACATGAAGGAGGTGCAGTGCTACAACTGTCAAGAATTTGACCACTATGCTCGAGACTGTTGAAAAAAGAAGGAAGCGCGAGCGAAAGATAGTGCATCATGCACATGCTGAAGATAGTGATTCTAAGGATGTGTTACTCATGACCAATACTTAATCGAACACTGCGCAAACTAACACGCGGTACCTGGATTCAAGATGCAGTAACCACGTGGCTGGTAATAAAGTCTGGTTCACCAAGCTAGATGAATCAGTTGAGAAAGTGATAAAGTTTGTAGATGACAAGCACATCACATCAAGTGGAAATGGAGACATCTCTGTTGTCAAAAAATATGGTAAAAAAGCTAGCATTACCGATGTGTTGTATGTACCTTCGATGACAAGTAACTTGATAAGTGTAGGTCAATTACTTGCAAAATGGTACAACATGAAGATAGAAAAGAATCACATGAAGGTGTATCATAATAATAGAAGGATGATTCTGAAGGAACCATTGGTAGACAACAAGACCTTTAAAGTAGAGATCAACCTAGTTAATCACAAGTTTCTTGCTTCGACTGCAGAAGAAGAGAAGAACTGACGGTGATATCACATGTGCGAACATCTATACTTCAAAAATTTAGGTATGCTTTACTAGAAGAAGATGGTGTATGGCTTACCTCAGGTGAAAGAATCAATTCAAATCTGTGAGAAATGTTGCAAAGTAAAGTAGGATAGGAAAGCATTCAAGCATGACCTGCCAATGAGGTCGAAGATAAAGCTAGAGTTAGTTCACTGTGATGTGTATGGACCATTTGAAGTGAGGTCAAATGGAGGTAACTACTACTTCCTAACCTTCAAATTTCAAGAAGTTTAAATTTCATGTCCAAAGGCAAAGTGGATGGAAGTTGAAGAAATTGAAACTGATGGTGGTGGTGAATACACCTCTCAAGAATTTGCTAGATTTTGCAGTGAGGAAGGTATAAAGCTTGAGGTCATTGCATCCTATACACCTCAACATAATGGCATAGTTGAGAGGAAGAATCAAAGTATATTGAACATGAGTACGAGGATGTTGAAAGCTAAAGATATGCCAAAGAGATTTTAGGGTGAAACAGCTTCGACAACAGTATATGTAACACCCCAAATATTATGGGAATATTTAATTTAATTTATTTTAATGAGAATATTCGCGTTTTGGTGATTTTCGGTGGTTTTGTGGAATATTGGGAAATAATGGAATTTGAGTTATTTATTTTGAATAATAATATATAATATGAATATATTAATATTATTATTAATTAAAATAAATATAAGTGAAATAAGGGCAAATTGGACAATTAAGAGGAGTTAGTGAGTATAATATGGGAAAAACCTAATTGTGAGGCTCAAGTCTAGGTTTAACAAAAAGAAAATTGTGATGGAATTAGGATTCATTTGTTAAACCGTGTGGAGAATTGAGGCCAGAGCTCTGAGAAGGAAGATTGGAGGCAAAAGCTTCAGAGGATTCCCGAAAATATTTGAGAAGGTTTTGATCGACAATTAAGGTATGGGGAGTATTTCCTTGAGAAGGTTTTGATCGACAATTAAGGTATGGGGAGTATTGCCTTCCCGAAAATATTTGAGAAGGTTTTGATCGACAATTAAGGTATGGGGAGTATTGCCTTCATGATTTTCAATGTGTAAATTCAACGTATTTAAGGTCGATTTAAGGGTTTAAGGAATTTTAGGGTCGATTGTGAGAAAAAGGGATTTTGGGCTTCGTGACCTAAATCTAGTATTAAGATGTTAACCATGGGAGTTTGATCAGTGGGTTTTAGTTGTGTTTTCAAACTGTGTTTGTCGTTGTTTTGCATTGTTTTTATTCGTTTTCGAATCTTTTGTTTATGTTGTCATAGTTATTTTCAGTCGTCTTTGTGTGAGTCTTATTTTGAGGTTTGTATCACTTTTGTCGCTGGTGCGTTTGATTTGGTTGTTTTTTGTGTGTTGTTGGCAGGAAGTGGTGACTCGATATCCATGCCGTTTCGAAGACGAAGAAAAGCCGAAAAAGTGGAAATCAGAGGCCTGACACAGGTGCCCGTGTTGCACAATACGACCCGTGTCAGGTGGGACACAGATGGAGGACACGACCAAGATGAGAAGAGAAAATAGGAGAACAGAAGAGAAACACGGGTGCCCGTGTCACACAACACGGCCCGTGTTGCAGCCCCTGAAGAAGAAAAGCCACGCCCTTGAGCAGCAGCCTGACACGGCCACTCGTGTCCCATGACACGGCCACCCGTGTCCCATGACATGGCCCGTGTCAGGGTCACTGATAGTGAATTTGTCATTTTTTCCTGTTTTGTGCTATCTGAGCTATTTCGAAGGGCATTTTAGACATTGTGTGATGTAATTTGAATTTAGATATATTAGCGGCATTTTGGCTAAGACTTTTTTACTTTTGGATTGGGATCAAATTTGTACACTGAAGAAGGAGATTTCTAGAGAACGAAGGATCGATCAAAAGCGGAAGCAATTGATGATCCAAGTGAACCAATTTCTATTGTAATGATCTTTTCCCTTTTATTTTTAAGTGCATTTGTTTTGATCAAGAACATGAGTGGCTAAACCCCCATTTGTTAGGGGGTGGTCCTAAATTGCGATGTATTGACCTTTGTTGGGATTATTCTATGAGATTTATGTTATTCACCTTATACCTTTTATTTTGCAACGATCTTTATGCTTATTCGTATTGGAAATAGAGTTTGATTTACAGTTAGGTTTTGGTCTGGAAAGTCAACCTAATGCTTTTGCAAAATAACATTACGGTAGATATTGCCTAGGAATAGGGATATCCCGTAGCACGTGTTTTATGTCAGAACTATTGCTTGATACTTTTCATGGGCAACTGAGGAATTAGTGTGCATGAAATTCATCAAAAGGTTTTTCATTAAGGAATTAAGGAAAACTGATTTTGAAATTTGACTGATTAAGGTGGGAAACAATTATCTCATAATAATTCTTTATGGTCTTTACTCGCAATTTATCCACTTCCCTAGCATTGTTCTTAAATATATCTAAAAGTCATTATTTACTAGCTTTTATATCCTGATACCAAACAACCCCAAGGCATTTTTGTTCCTTTGAATACTAAAACTACTGTTAATTACTACGCAGTCCTCGAGATCGATACTTGGGACTTTTTCCCTTATTACTACATCGATGAAAATAGTACACTTGCTATTTTTCCGATCAAGTTTTTGGCGTCGTTACCGGGGACTGTCAAATTAATGTTGTTTTTAGGATTCCCAGCCATTTGAACACTTTTTCCCTTATAGAACCAGAGCGAGCATTGCACGAGAGACTGAGAAAAGCTAGAGTTGAAAGACTGGCAGGGTCAAGTTCAGGCTCCGGCGTTCTGTTGCTAGAAATAGAAGAAGTTATATCTGTGCACAGTGACTTAGAAGCAGAGAGAGAGAGACAACACCTGAAACTGTTCAAATGGATGGGAATCCACCTCAGCC